AAAAAAAAACCTGTAATAGATAATGAAATGGCACACTCACTTAATTAATCATTATTATCATCATCATTATTATTATTATTATTTAAGTTTACAATACGCGCAAGCGCACGCTCGTATGTGTATGTGTGTGAATGAAAATTTTATATATATTTATTACCTTGTTAATTAGAGTAATTTTATTTACAATTCTTTTTAAAAAATTGACTCGATAATGTTTTTTTTTAGAAAAATAATAATAATAATAATACGAAAAACCCAAATGTGAAATGATAATGATAATATATAAAAAATAGTAATAATAATAATAATAATAATAATAATAATTATAATAATAATAATCAAGAGTAATTTTTATTGCATAATTTATATATATATAAGTATAAATCAAATTTTAATAAATTTTTTTTCTGTTTATTAATAAATTTATTGTTATTATTATTATTATTATTATTATTATTATTATCATTATCATTATTAAAATTTATTATTTATTTATAAATTTATTCATTTTTTTAAACTTAATTTCTACAACGTTCGAAGACAAAAATTACTTAATTGAAAATAAATTTTTTTTTACTTATTAATAATTTACTACTCATTATCTCGTCCCAAAATAATGATAATGATGATAATAATAATAATAATAATAATAATAATAATAATAATAATAATAATAATAATAATAATAATAATAATAATAATAATAATAATAATAATAATAATAATAAAATCCAAAAAAATTCTTTTATTTATTTTTTTTTTTTTTAAACTTATTATCGTGACTGTTACGTCACCACCACCACGATCATCTTCATCATTATATGTTATTTTTATTACTACAATTATTTAATATTATAAAAATATAATAATTGATGTAATAATAATAATAATAATAATAATAATAATAATAATAATAATAATATTAGTAATGTAAAAAAAACTTATTAAATAAAGTACAATTAATTATTATTAAGTAAGAGAAATAATTTTAAAATAATGACGTCACGAGGATAATACAAACACAAAAATACATTATATAAACGTAATCGTTCAATCAATTAATAAGTATGTAAATAAGTAAGTAAGTAAATAAGTGAGTAAATTAATAATTTAAAAAAGAAAGAAAAAAAACATGAACGAAATGAAAAACACACATGTGACATTATTATTATTATTATTACTTCTTTTTAAAATAATATTATTACTCAATGAATTATTATTACTATTATTATTATTTTTCCTTTATATTTTTTTTTTTTTTAATTGAATCAACAAAATTTTTATTTTTCAATTACGAATAATTTATTATTTATTAATAAATTATTTACTCGCGTAAGAATATTATTATTATTATTATACATTTAACATATAAACAATCATAAGTTAATTATTAAATATATAAGTGTGTTTGTTTGAGTGTGTATTTATTTATTAATTTACAAATTTTATTTATGTATGACTGTGTTGTTTATATGCCGCTTAATAAACATACCAACACGCGCATTTATTACTATTATTATTATTATTAATAATTAAATCTGAGTAGAATTATTATAATTAGGCACGTTACTTAATAACTAACCGTCTTTTCGGAAGACGACATTATTATTATTATTATTATTATAATTATTTATTTATTTTTGGAATTTTTTTTTTTATTTTTTTACATTTTCAATGAAACTTTTTTTTAAAATTACATAAATAAATAAATAATATTAATGATAATAATAATAATAATAATAATAATAATAATATCAACAACAACAATTATAAAATATTCATACTTTTCTCACTCACTTCCTCACCTACTATTATTATTATTGTTGTTGTTGTTGTTTGTTATCGTTTATTGTTAAAATGTGTTTTATTATTATTTAATAAAGAAGTAACAAAATATGAAATAATATTAAGTGTAATAATAGTTATCAAAGTGAAATAATAAGAAAAAAAAATGTTTTTTTTTTTTTTTTTTTTTTTTTTTTTTGTATTATAATTAAGCGAGGAACATAAAAAAAGTGTAATTATTATCATTATTAATATGACTACTATCATTAAAATTATTTTTCTTTCTTATCAATAAATGGTAATTTAATAATATTACAAAAAAGGAAAAAAAAAATATTATTATTATCATTAATAAAACAATGCTTAGTGAAATGAAGTGAGAGCAGATATTAAAAAATAAAAAGAAATTTTTTTTTGGTTTTTTGGTCCACGTGCGTCGACATATTTTTTTTTTTTTTTATCATCTAAAACAGTATAAAATATATTTATATATTTATATAACTCCTGTTGGATTCTGCTCATCTCATCTCATCTTAACTCACATAGTTTTTCTTTCTATATCTACTTTTTCTAACTCTTTCTTCTCTCTTTTACTTCTCATATAAAATGGAATGTCAATTAATTAATTTCTCTCTCTCTCTCTTTAATAGTGATAAACAGTAATGGCACTCAATTTTGAAAAAATAATAATAATAATCATAATTAATGGTTACATATACATAAGAAACCGAAAAAAAAGACAAAAAATGTTTCTGAACAACAGTCGATCATCAATTGTATAATCAAAATTATTATTTTTTTTTTTTTATACAAATACCCGTATTAATAAATTTAATAATGTTATTAAATAATAATAATAATAATAAATAACTATTAATTAATAAATTAAATACAAAGTAATAAGAATAATAATGATAAATTTACAATTTGTTGTTGTTGTTGTTTGATCGACTAAAATAAAAATAATAATAATTTGCTGTCATCATACAATTATTAATTTTAATCATTTACCATAATTTATAAATTTTTGTTTTTTTTTTAAATGAAAAAGAGAGAGAGAGAGAGAGAGAGAGAAAAGAGTACAACACACATTTTATTTAGTTAATGACTAGACTTTTTTTTTTTTTTTTAAATTTTTGTCCTAAAAAGTTCATTTTATCTAAATTTAATTACAATCTATATGAATCAATGAGATCTATAATTAATCACAAGTTTTTTTTTTTTTAGAAAAATTAATAAGCTGTGTGTTTATGTGTGTATTCATTTGTTTGTTAAACAATTAATTATTAATTAAAAAACAATAATGAAAATAAAATAAATGAAAATTTTTCTTCTTTTATCGAGTGACCACAAAAAAAATTTTCCTTTCACAGTACATGTGTGTGAGTGTGTGTGTGAAAGTGTATGTATAAATTTACAATTAAACCTTATTCAAGTGCTGATTTGTATTATTTTATAATTGTTGTAAACAAGGGGCCCATATTTATTAATGTAAAATAATAACAAAACAAAGAAAGAAGAAAAAAAAAAAAAAAATTTTGACAAATTTTTTTTCCAATAAAATAATCACAATCTTACACAAACTGTAACAAACATTTTTTTTCTTTTTTTATTTCACCAATTATATTAAAATATTGAGTTGAATATATTATTAATAATATGAAAATGTTAAGAAATGTTAATTTCCTTGAATATATTAATTTTTATAAAAAGAATGTTCGTTAAAGAAAAATTATATTCATTTTCGTTATGGCAAAAATTCAAAAGTTAATTATAAATTAAAAATTACTAACCTAAACAACAAGTACATATTTTTGTTGTATGATCCCTGTTTGTTTCGCTAAATTAAATTTCAAATTAAATTTTGTTGTAACTAATCAAAGAAAAATAGAAAAACCAAAAAAAAAAAAAAAAAAAAAAAAACACTTTTTTGTTCCAAACACATTTTTAAAAATTTTAGTTCAACAATTAAAAAGATGGCAGCACTAGTAATTTGCAAAACAAAACCTTAATAAAAAAAAATTAGTTTTAAAAATAAACAATAGGAGCGCTGCAATCAATTTTTTTTTTAACGAACTTTTCAAAAAAAAATTTTTCAAATTCGTTCGATTTTTTTTTTAAATTTTCGTTTTGATTTAATCAAATTAAATTAATCGAAGCTCTGTCTAAAAAAAAAAAAAGTTTTCAATAATTAGTTACATAATACGTGAAATTGTGATAATAAGTTAATAAAGTTCAAGTGAAATGATTAACAATTCAACAAAAGGTAAGAGAGTTAATTTTACATTAGATAAAATTATAAAGAAGCCATTTTCTTTTCAATCTGTATCAAATTTTGCTTTGCTTTTGTTTTACTCAGTAAGATCATCACCGAGTGTAATAATTAGAAAAAAAAAAACAAAAAAACCCCAAAATACTTTTAAATGTACCTTCCAACAGAAAACTAAATTTAAGCTTAAAAAAAAAACAGGTTTACATATGTACTTGTTTTTCATCTGAGTATTTGTTTTTCATAAATATACAAAAAAATAATTTTGAGTATTTGTTAATAATCATTACATTGTACACAATAATAATACAAATGTCCAGCACTTAAATAATACTAATAATAATAATAATAATATATATGGTTGAAATAAGTAAAACAAAAAAAAAAAACAACATGTGTGAATAAGAGAAACAAAAAAAAATTGTTAAGTACCAAATCAATTATCAAAAACAAAATCAATGAAAGAAAAACTTTTTCTTTTTAAAAATACTCTTTTAAATGTTGCCTTAGATGATGAATTTATATATAAACTCATTTTGTATACAATGAAAGCAGTAACAAACATATTTTTAAGTTTTGTAACAAACAAAAATTTTTTTTTTACCCCAAAACATGATGATGAAAAAAAAAAAAAAATTTTGGTTTTGAGTATTTAAAAAAAAAAAAATTTATATGTATATATATGTAAGATATACCAAGTGAGCACTCTTGTATTAATTTTAATCATTTATTAATTACTTAAACAATATTTGATAATGTCACACACGATAAAGTTTTTTTTTTTTTTTTTATTACATCATCATGGAAGAATTTAAATAACGCTTCTACTAATACTGACTGCTTTATTGCGAGTTATTGCTTTACCGTGAAGCGCGTGTCATACAACCACAACAGCCTGTTTGTTTGTTTGTTTGTTTTTGTCAAAAGCTATCAAAAGTTCTTATTTCTAAACGTACATTGCCATGCCGCCATACATAGAACCCCAATCCACTCCCTGGAAACTAGACATGTCGACGTTTGTGAGGCTGTAGGGATAAGGAGCGGCCGGAGCCGGAGCAAGTGCAGGTGTTGTCGCTCCGGCAGGTGGTGCGGCTGGTGCGGCCGCAGCCACAGCCGGAGCTGCCACGGCTGCGGGTATGGGATAGGGAGCGTATCTGAAGCTGGCAAGGGGAGGAAAAGTACCGAATATTTTACCGTAGTTGGATACGGCAGCGGCGTTTTGAGCCTGAGCGGCCGCAGCGGCGACTGCTGCCGCTTGTACGTGAGCGGCTTGAGCTTGCACGGCAACGAGTTGAGTAGCTTGCGTGACAGGTGTCGGTATACCCATTCGCACTCCCAAAGGCCCGACCACCATTCGCTTCCCTAACAGAGTACCCGCAACAACTTCTTTAGGCATGGCTTTTTTACATTCCACTTTTTTGTTTTTTATATTATGAAAGTGAATTTCACACACTCTATCAACCGTTTCTTCGTTTTCGAATGTGACGAATCCGAATCCCCGATGACGTTTCGTTTGTTGGTCCATTAACATCACAGCTTCTTCGACTTTTCCAAATTGACTGAAATAAACTTTAACTTCGTCGGAACTTGTGTCTTGCGAAACTCCTCCGACGAATATTTTTTTCGTTTTCCCATTTGTTTTTCCTCTTCCCTTGGGTGTCGCATGTTTCGGATCGATTTTCTTACCGTCGAGAGTGTGTACGGGTACTTTCAATACATTTTCAACGCTACTGGGCTCTTCGAATGTTATGAAACCGAAACCTCGACTTCTCTGTAAAAAAACAAGAAATTTTTTTTTTTTTTTTTTTTTGCATAATCAAGTTCTGGTGAAAAATGTTTCACTTAACTGATATCTCATTACCCTGTAGGAATCTCTGGAATTATAATAATCAACAACAATCTCTGGAATAAAATCAAATCGAAACCAAACTTTTTTTTTTTTTTTTGGTTTGGTATCGAAACGTACCTGAGTGACGGGATCTTTCATAATTAAAACATCCGTAATATTTCCAAACATTCCGAAATATTGTCGAAGTTTTTCCGATGACGTTTGCCAACTCAAACCTCCCACGAATAATTTTCCAGCGGCTGTAGAATCTGCTCCGGGAGAACTACTCCCTTCGTTACCACTTCCGGTTCCGTTACCGTTCACGGCGGCCGTTTCGGGAGTCGATTTAATTTGTAGGCCTCCATTTTGACTGACCGGATGGTGAGTCACGTGATTTAAAGTTCTCATGCTCGTCGCATTGGTTTCCATTTTCACATGAGGAGGTGCCCTGTTGCAATTTAAAAAAAAAACAATTATTATTAATATCATCGTCATCATTTATTAATCGATTTAAAAAAAAAAAAATTCATTCGTTCGTTTTAACAAATTTTTTTTTTTTTAAAACTTTAATTATCCGAATTATTTTTTAAAAACAGGAAAAAGGGGGTAAGAAAAAGAACAACCATTTTTGCTGCGGTGTGAGTAAATTTTTGCGTGGATTTAATGATTCTCATTAGGAAAATTCAAATCCTGCGAAAGTCAAAATTTTAAAACAAACGACGAGAGTCCATCATATCTTTTACAAAATGAAAGAAGACAAGATGGGCGTATTGATTGAACCCACCGAAATATCTCAAACTGCTACCGTTTCAAATAAATCCGTCGACTTATATTTAAGTAAATCCCACAATGGGGGAGGTAAGAGGAGGGGAGGAGAGAAAGAGATTGGGTGGATGATTGGGATGCAAGTATCGAGAAGAGTGTCGGGATGCGGCGAAAGATATACAACTTTCAAAAAAAAAAAAAAAAATATCGGGAGTCAAACACGTCGACTACCCTCACCCCCCCTCCCAAAAAAAAGAACGAAAAACGCTAAACGAGAAAATAGAAGAGAAAGAAGAAAAAAGAAAAAAGAAAAGAAAAAAGATTGTTCTTTTTTTCTCTTCTTTTCCTCCCCGATAATTTTCCCCCATTTTTCAAATCCTATTTTTCATTTTCAGACTATTGTTTAAAGGGCGTCAAAAATTCCATAAGTTCTTCTAAGGGTTAGAAAGTTGTGCGTATGTGTGTGTGCGTGTGCGTGTGTGCGTGAGTGCGTGCGTGTGTTTGTGTTGTGTCGAGTTCGATCCACGCCGGCGTTTTTTATACCCGCGTCTGCGCTTAATCACTTCGACCGGGCGTCCAACCCTCCCGTTACAGCTGCAAACAGTCGGTGCGCGAGATTGAATAGAGCCTCTGTAGACAAAAACTTTTCAATTGAAATTTTTTTCTTTTTTTTTTTTTGCTTGTGAATTTAGATTTAAAAGAAGTTTTTTTTTTTCTTTTCTTTTATTTTCTTATTTAATAAAAAAAAAAAAAAAAAAAAAAACGAACGAATGGTAAAACTATAGAGAGGCTCGATATTACCTAAACTCGTGAAAAGAAGAAAAACGTGTAAAGTTTTTAAGAGAAAAAATTAAAAGGGCGACAAAAAAAAGTCAAAATTGTTTACACGTAAATTATCACGGAGAAGAGAAAACATAAATTTCCGGATTCTAGGTTAATAAAAAATATTATGCGTTTGCACGTACGTACGCGTATTTACATACGCATAAATATATGCGTGTACAAAAAGAGTAAAGGAAAGGAGAAGAAAAGGGGGAAAAAAAAAAAACGGAAACGAAAACGATGAAGAAAAGGGATCAATAACCTTGATGGTGATATTAGGAAAATTCAAAGAGGGGCACGTGCGGTGACGTCACACAAAATGGCGACGCCTGAGATATTGTCCTGTCACAGCAGTACTGTATTTGAGATACTGCTGTATCGGGACATAGCCTCAGACGTTCGTTCGTTCTTTCATACCGAAATTCATTTTTAAAAAAAAAAAATGCTTATAATAATAATAATAATTTTTTAAGGCATCGTAAAAAAAAAAAAAAAAAAAAAACAAACGCACGAATTTGGGGACTCTAAAAAAAGGAAATGAGAGAGAAAGGGGAAGAAAGAAAGAAAAAGGAAGAAAAAAAAGCAAGCGTAAAACGTTAGGAAAAAAATGAAAACAAAATGATAATATTCCAATCAATGAAATAAAACAAAAACAAACATAAACATTAGCAGAGGCAGCAGAAGCAGCAGCAGAAGAAAAAGCAACAGCAGCAGCAGAAGAAACAACACAACCAATCTCAGGTTTTGTTAAAAACAAAATAGAGAGAGGGAGAAAAAAAAAATTTAATATTTTCCGCGAGTTTTATAGACGATAAATCGATTTACAAAAAAAAAAAATTTTCACGGCCACACCCATATAATAATAATTTTTTTTTTTTTTTTCAAGTTAAATCCTACAAGATTTTCCAAGCAAGGTTTAAGCAAGCAGAAGACGCAGAATAATAACAATAATAATAATATTAATAATAAAAGGAAATGCAGAAGAAAAGAAAAGAAATCAGGGAAATACGTTCATATTTTCCAATACCACTTTTTCTTTTTTAAATATTTATAATTAAAACAAAAAGAAAAATCAAATAATAATAATAATAATAATAAAGGAAAAGGTTCGATCGTGAAAACGAAACAAAAAAGGAAAAAAGGAAAAATCGAAAAGAGAAAGAGAGGGAGAGAGACATGAAAATTTTTTTTTTGTTGAAGAAGAATTTGAGTAAAATCGAGAGAGATGAGAGAAAGAAAGAGAGAGAGAGAGAGAGAAAAATAGAAAGAAAGTCATTTAGTTAATTTATCAGCAAAAAAAAAAAAAATTTCCCGCAGCAAATTCCCTTTTTTGCGGCCGTCAGGGAACGTACCGCCTCTTAATCATTTCGATAAATCGATCGATCTTTTCCGCTTCCGTTCAAATCCCGCATATTAATTACCATAATTGTTTTCAAACATTTTGAAATCCCGTCTTTCCCCCGCCCCCCCACAACCTCAAAGAGTAATAATAATAATAATAATAATGATAATAATAATAATAATAATAATAATAATAATATTTTTAATACCGAATCGATCGTTTGTCGTCATGATTCTTTCAAAAAAAAAAAAAAATTTTCCCAATTCATTACCTACGACAAACAAACAAAAATTTCGCACGCACACACACACACACACGATACTGACCGATACACGTCATAACAATCACGTGTCACATCATTATTATCATTATTTTTTTTTTTTTTTTTGAATGAGAGGAGTATCTAAAAAACATTTTCCGAATCGAAAAATTTGTTAATTATCCCTCACGCAAGAATCCCTTAACATTATTATCATTATTTTTGTAGTTGTTGTTGTTGTTGTGGCGGTTGTGGTTCTGGTTGTGGTTGTTGTTGTACGCGTTCGTTTCACGAAGGTTTTAGGAAATATAAAAAAAAAAATTTAATTTTATTAACCCAAGATAATAACAATAAGGAATCCTTATGCGTTCTTCTCACTTTTTTTTTGGGGGGGCGAGGGGAGGTTCGCGTCCGGTTTTGTTAATGATTTGTAGCAGTAGTCCGGTTGTAAATTATTATTATATTATTGTTATCAAAACCGACTTTGAATTACTTAATAATAATAATAATAATAAATTTTTATTCTCATTTTTTTTTTTTTTTGTTACTAACAACCATTTTCCACGACTCATTTATTATGAGATTATTTTATGATTTTGAAATTAATAATTATTTTTAATAAATAAAAAAAAAAAAGGACATAAAACGTGATCTTAACAAAGAGAGAAAGAGAGAGAGAGAGAGAAAAATATTCTAAAAACTATTTTTTTATTTAAATCATTCGTCGTTTCTTTGTAAATAATAATAATAATGAATTTAAAACATTTTCAAACACCTGGATGGCATGATATAAATAATAATAATAATAATAATAATAATAATAAATAAATAAATTTAAAAAATAAAAAACTTTTTCTTTTCAATTTAAACGTTCGTAATAATAATAATAATAATAATAATAATAATAATAATAATAATTTTTCATTCATTACGAACACGAATAAACCGAGAAAATTCGGTCGTTTGTCGCTTTAAAAAAAAAAAAAAATTCTATAAAGTGTCAATGCCACGGAAGAAAAAAAACCGTTTAACGTTCATCGAGTCGTGGTAATAGAAAAGAAAAAATTAAAAGGAAAAATTTTCATTCTATTCACACGACAGATTTTCTCGTTGGAAACGAAAAAAAGAAAAAGGGACGCCACGAAAAAGTAAAATTCTTTTTTATCATCACCCTATTCTCGAATTTCCGTGAGCGCAAACTCGAGAAACGATTCGACAGAATGGGGTTGAAATATTTACCCTTAACTACGTTTGACTTGGGGTGGTTTATAAAACTCGCGTGCCATCTTTGAGAATTATTTTGAAATTTTTCCGAATTCGTCGGACAAAAAAAAAAAAAGAAGCACACACACACACAATGCGCAATAACACAATAACGGTGGAGAAAAAAGAAAAGAAAAGAAATGAAAAAAACAAAATGGAAAAACGAAACACGATGGATGCAAATACGATTGCGCAAGATTATTGACGTATGACGTCACATGATAGAACAAAATGGAAAATCGTTTTTTTTTTTTTTTTTTTACGTTTGAAAAAAAAGAAATTTAAAAAAATTAAAATTAATATTAACCTTTTGCAATTACTCGATTTAAAAATAAAAAAAAATTCGTTATTTTTATTTTATTATTCCAATATTCGTAAAAAAACGAATGTATAACGATGATGATGATGATGATGATGATAATGATAAAACTCATAAAAGCAGACGATAAAAAAATAATAATAATAATAAATGAATAAATAAACATTTTGAAAAAAAAAAAAAAAATTAATTTAAACACTTGAACATGATATTTTTAAAAGTAAAAAAAAAAAAAAAAAAAAAAAATTTCCAATTTGTTGTAATGTGATGCAAAAGAGAGAGAAAGAGAAAGAGAGAGAGATGCGGAAAGAAAAATGAAAAACTGTCGCGTTTGATAGCAAAAAAAAGAAAAATTGAAGAAAAAAAAAAGAAGAAAGAAAAACGATAAAAGTTAGTTGAAGTTGTGAAAACGAGAGAGAGAGAGAGAAAACTTGTGAAAAATTTACATTATAAAAGTTGTTGTTGTGAGTGACAAAAAAAAAAAAGAATGAAAACGACGAATGGGAAGCAATAACCATAAAAAAGAAAAAAGAAAGAAAAGAAAAGAGCAAAAGAAGAAAAAGAAAAAGAGAAAAGTTCACTCGCGTTAATAATAAAAAAAAAAAAAAAAGAAAAATGAAATGAGACAGACAGACAGACAGAAAAAGGAAAAAACAAACAAACGAAAATGGGAAGAGGGGAGGAAGAGGAGAAGAGGAAATCGCAAACATTGCATCAACAACATCCGCTCGTTAACACACGTAAAAAAAAAAAAACCAAACAAACGAAACAACCATTTTTTTTTTTTTTTTCGTTTAATTTTTTCCGACAACGTTTTCACAACATTTCCTTTCGACGAGAAAAACAATCATCATCGACCAACAACAAACAAACAAAAAAAACAAAATAGTAAAAGATAAAAAAAAAAACAAAACAAAAAACGAAAAATAAAAGCGAGAGGAATAAACAACAACAAAAAAAGAAAGAAAAAGTTTTTTCACAAAAACCGGAAACGAAACGAAAACAAAAAAAAAAAAAATAATAATAGGGAAAATCTCAACGATATAACCGGAAATAATATACGGGAATGTCTCTTTTACCAACAACTTTTTCCCTCTCCCTCCCCTCCCTTTCAACCTCTATCTCCTCGATTTCGGTTCAATTATTTTCTACGACCTTTCCTCCCCGTGTCTCCACCTTTTTACTCCCCATAAGACCGGGAGGGGGGGGGGCAAAACCGCCATGAAACCACCGATTTTTTTTTTTTTTTCCTCGAAGAAATGACGATGGACATCAACCCATAGAACTTTTGTGAAACGGAAAAGGGGTCTCCAAAAGGTCAGAGTAGGAAGAAAATACAGGATGGGGGGTGGGAGATGGAAGACAAGAAAGGGGGGGCAACCACACGTGCGAAAAAAAAAAAAAGAAAGAAAAATATTATTATTATTTTTATCATCATAAGGAAAACATGTAATGAAACGAATCAGTCAAGAGTGAAACCGATAGAGAGTCACGTGGTGATGGAGGGGGTAAGGAAAGAGGTAAGGGAAAGGGAAAGAGAAAGAGAGAGAGAGAGATAGGTCGTTAATTTTTCATTCATTTTTCACACTTTATTCAAACAGATAAATTACCTGCGATATAAACGAATTTTTTTTTTTTTTTACTCTATGGAAATTTTTTTTCCTTTTTCCTTTTTTTTTTATCGAAGGAAAAAAAGGAAGGGGGGAGGAAGGGGGGAGGAAAAAGGTTCGCGTTTATTTAAAGTGTATATATACATATATAAATGTTTTTTTAAACCTTTTTATTATTTAGTTGATTTTATAAATGGATCAATGAACCGGAACGTAAAAAGCACGTTATCGCTTCAATTATTATTATTATTATTATTATTTATTTTTTCTGCCTTATCACGACGGGTTTTAATTTCGTCCTATGTTTGTTTTCCTTTTGAAATCTCTCGCGTCATTGATTTAAAAAAAAAAAAAAAAAAAAAGGTTTACAACCCCCCAAAAAAAAAAAAATTAAAAATTATGGAACTAAAGTGAATAACTTCAAATCATTTCCGGTTTACGAATTATTCAAAAAAAACAAAAAAAACAAAAAACAAAAAGGCTGGAACGAATAGAATGAGGGGAGAGGAAGGAGGGGCAACAAAAAAAGAGAAATATTGATAAAATGAAAAAAGAAGAAGAAGAAGAGTGAAAAACAATAATGATAATAATAAATTAATTAATAACAAAAT